CACACACCCCCCCCCACCACACACACACCCACCACCACATACACACCCACCACCACACACCCCCCCACACACCCCCACACACCACACACACACCCACCACCACATACACCCCCCACACCCCACCACCACATACACACCCACCACCACACACACCCCCCACACACCCCCACACACAGCCACCACCACCACACCCCCCACCACCACATACACCCCCCCACACACACCCCACCACATACACCCCCCACACACACACCCCACCATATACACCCCCCACACACACACCCCCACACACACACCCACCACCACACACACACACCCACATACACACACCCACATACACACCCACCACATACACCCCCCACACACACCCACACATACACACCCACCACCACATACACCCCCCACCCACTCCCCCCACATACACACCCACCACCCCACCCCACCCCCTCTCTCACCCTCTCTGATGCAGGAAAGCTTTTTTTTGCAGAAATCATACACTTTTACTTTCTCTTTCTCTCGCTCTCTCTCTCTCCCACATCCAACCCACACACTCACTCACATACACACTCACTCACTCACATACACATTCACTCATTCACATACACACTCACTAGCTCACACACTCACTCTCACCCACACACACTTACTCACACTTGCACACACTCACTCTCACTTGCACACACTCACACTCACTCACTCTCACCCACACACACTCACTCACTCACACTTGCACACACTCACTCTCACCCACACACACTCACTCACTCTCACACTCACTCTCTCCAACCCCCACACACTCACTCCCACCCCCACACACAGACACTCAGTCACACACACACACTTTCACACCCACACCCACGTCTGTCATTTGTCTTTCTCGGATCTCGATTACATAAACCGAGCATAAACTTACAACACTTAAAAAAATAAATCGCAAATGACTGGAAGGTGCGGTATATTTGTATTAATATAAGGTCCGACTAACGTTACAGATCCTCCTCGAGTCAGAGCTAAGACGAAAAGAATGGTTTTACAGTTCCAAACAAGTCATTTGTTGTTAACAATAAATATATACGCCTCTATTTCTATTCACTTGTGGTTTGGGCATTTGACCAAGAAATCTGTTCCTGTCGATGTGGAGAAAGCTTGGGATCCAATCCACAAGGGGACAGGAATACTGTGGAATTTTCCACCTGCAGTTCTTGGAACAGTTTCCTGATTCCTCACCGAGACACCAATTTGAAGTCAATTTCAACCGAAGCCACAGCACAAACGTTAAAGGAGTTTCAATGATGCTTTCACTGGAAGAAATCCTTCTCCTAACTGTTTTAATATGGTCCCATATAGATTGGACAACATCATTTTTACATAAACAGCACTTATGTTAAGTGTGTTTGACATACTATCCATGACCCCTCATCAACCCGGTAAAGTCTTCAATGCTGTATCTAAGATTTTAATGCATAATACATTTTGTGTACAATACAACAATGGTTATTCAATATAAACACATTTCAGAAAGTGCATAGAAAAGGCCATTTAAACCATTTTTGGTGCCAACTTTCCACTGGTACAATATTCTCCAAACCCAATTTCATACTCTCTCTCCCCCCCCCCCACCCCTTTTTCTATTCTTTCTCTTCAGTATTTAGCCAATACCCTTTTAAATGTTATGGTTTCAGTATCCGCATACTAGAAGTTTTGAGAAGTTTTTCTTAAGATTGTTTTTTTAAAAAAACTGAAAGATCACAGAAACTGACTTTCAAAGTCAGGATATCCTGTGTGTATCTACCCTATAACTACGTGCCATGGTTTATACATACAGTAAATACCCCCCACCCCCACCGGACTTACCAAACTCCAGGTATCTGGAATTCCGAAACAGAAAATAAAATTAAAATTCTGGGTGCTGGTAAATTCCTGCTGGGCCACTCTGCTGGCAGACGCCCCCACCTCACTGTGTTTGCTGGCCTTCAGTGGCTAGGGATTTTGACTTGGGATAGGGAGCCATCCCACTCAGCTCCTGTTAACTCAGCAAGCCAATTCCTAATAGGTAGGGTGATCCGAGCTGAACAAGCAGTGGGAAAGCTTTGCCAGACAACAATATCAATGACAAGGTATGCGGTTTGAGCTGGTTAGACTCCAGCAGTACCCCGCCAGCGTACAGCACACTCTAGGGTCCCCAAGCCTTGGCTCTTGCCAACCTGGGCCTAATACTTTCCAGAATTGGGTGAACAGGATGCTTCCCTCAAGGGAGAGAGTGCGCATTCCATTCCAATGCTCCATCTCTGGAAATTCCACGTGTAGATGGGATGTATCAAATTCTCAGTTTGGTTTGGATGCCAAATGGCATGGTGATGGGTTTCCGCATGTGTCAGATACCCAGCCGACTCCTCCAAAACAATTTTTTGGGCTCAGTTTAAATCCCACGAGCAGAAGATAGCTTATTCGCTATTCTCTGCTCTTGGGATTCAAACAATTACAATGTTGGTACCGGCATTTACCGACAGTTATTAGTACTGAAAAAAAGTCAGTAGTAAAGGCCAGTAAAGGTATCGGCATTGTAAATTACATTTAGCTGGAAATTCCGATCACCGAATTGGATCTCCCCATTGGACCGGCTAAGTCGGGGTTCAGTAGAATCCATTCTTTGTAACTTTACGTGATTTTTCCTTCCACTTTTGTGATGTGGAGCCCTATAGCTCAGTGGTCAGAGCCCTGGCCTTTGCAAGCGAGAGACCTGGGTTCGATTCCCAACAGGGCGAAATGTTGGGCAAGTTTCCTTACTCCACATGTCTCTGTCTACCTAGCAGTAAGTAGGAACCCAGTTTTAGTTGATTGGCAGATCGCTTTTCCGGGGGTAATACTTCCTTCAAAAGTATTAATAATAACCAATTGGTCACTTAAGAGCAACGATTGTTTGTTGGACACTGCTGCGCGCAATTGGCTGCTGCATTTCGCCCACAAAATATACAGTCAATTCACTTCACAGTATATTCTGTAAAGCGCTTTGAGACGTCTTGAAGATGTGATAAGGCAGTACTATCAACTGCAAAGATTATTAAGGACTATTATGATGCACGGTTAACATTTGAAGTGACACCTCAGTTAATATGAAAGCGTTTGATACCTCTATTTGCTATCAGACACAAATCACAAGCCATTAAAAGTTACATGAATCACCTCACCTTGTGTAGCGTGGAGTCTATCACCCTCATTCATCTACTTATCAGTGATCAACCTACCTCATCCTCACATTCAAATACTTTCATTGTGCACCACCCTAATTTTCTGCAAACAATTGCAAATCTACTGCCTACCCTGGCCGCCTCCCTTCATCCGCAAACTCTGGTCAGTTATATGCCTCCACTCATCCATCAGCAGACAAACTCTCACCAAATCCCTTTACCTCACCCTCTTCTCTGCTTTCATTCCTACCTCTTTGACAATGTTTTCACCCACCACCCTCTCTGTGCTGACTTCTGCTCAGTCTTTGTAAAGCCCTTTGAATTGATCACCCAAAGTCATCATACAGTGTAAACTGTTGTTATTCTATTCCAAAGAGGTGATAGAAAGGTGACTTACCCGACTCCTATCCCTCCTCGATTCCCCCACGGCCTCCCTCTGCTCCTCCCTTCACATTCTCCATCATGCCCACCGTGGTAGATGCCGTCAGCTGTCCTACAGCACCCACCCTGACTGCCCCTTCCCCCACTCTCGCCACAAGGCCCACCGGCCCTCACCCACGGGAGCCAACCTTTCGGCCCTCACTCACATCCCCATCCAACCCGTCTACCCATCCCCTCCCACCCCTCATCTCCCCCACACTCCCACCACTAACTGTCCCTCCTCATCCACTCCCCCACCTACGACTGTGACCACCCCCTTGACCTGGTGATTAACGCGCCTGGACCAAATCCAAACTAATGGGCCATCAGCAGATTTGGCTTCACCATACCAAGACCTACCACTGCGCTCTTGTCTCTGCCAAATCCTCCTTCTACTCCAAGGTTATCTTGGAGGCAAATGACAACCCCAGGCTTCTCTTTTCCACCACAAACCTTCTCCTCCATCCATCTTCCCATGCCTCGCCTATCCTCTCCTCAAACTCCAACTGTGAGGAGATGCTGGACTTCCTCAAATCCAAAATCGAGGGGATACGTTCAGCCACCTCTGCCCCATTCACCGCCACCCCCACATCACCTGTCGCTCATGACCCACCTCCCATCCATTCCCCCCTACACTCCTTCGATCCTATCTCTCCCTCCTCCCTCACCGCGACTGTTCGCAAACTCAAACCTACCATCTGCTCCCTCAATCTAATCCCCACCTCTCTCCTCATCTCCCAGCTCCACCTTCTGGCGCCTCTCCTGTACGACATCATCAACCTCTCCTTGTCCACCAGTTCAGTTCCCACCCTCCTAAAAACAGCCGTCATCAACCCATCCCCCAAAAACCTTCCCTGGACCTATCCCTCCTCTCAGCTACTGCCCCATCTCTAACCTCCCATTCCTCCCCAGGGTTCTAGAACGAGTTGTTGCGTCCCAGCTCTGCTCCTTTCTTTCTCGCCATTCCCTCTTTGAACCCCTCCAATCCGGCTTCCGCGCTGCCCACAGCACGGACTCGGCCCTGGTCAAAGTCACTATTGACATTCTGAACATCTGTGATCAGGGCTCCCTCTGCCTCCTTGTCCTCCTCGATCTCTCTGCCTCCTTTGACACTGTCGACCACTCCATCCTCATACACCGCCTCTCCTCTTTACTTAATCTTCGCGGACCTGCCCTTGCCTGGTTCGATTCCTATCTCTCTCACCATCTCCACTTTGTTGCCTCTAATGGTTTCTCCTCCGCACTGTCACGTCTGGCTCTGTCCTTGGTCCTCTCCTCTTTAATATCTCCCCCTTGGTGTCATCATCGGCAGACAAGGAGTCCTGTAGCTCAGTGGTTAGAGCACTCGTTTTGCAAGCGAGACGCCTGGGTTCAATTCCAGGCAGGGCGAAACCGTGGGCAAGTTTCCTTACTCCACACACCTAATAATAATCCCTCTAAAAACAAAACAATAATAAATTGGTCATTTTCAATCCACGACTGTTTGTGGGACACTGCTGTGTGCAATTGGCTGCCACGTTTCGCCCACAAATATACAATCAATTCACTTTACAGTCTATTCTGTAAAGCGCTTTGAGACGTCTAGAAGACATAAAAAGCGCTATATCAAATGCAAGGATTATTATTATTATTATGGGGTCAACTTCCACATGTATGCGGATGACACCCAACTCTATCTTTCTGCCCCCACCCTCAACTCCAGGACCACTGCTGTCCTGACAGACTGTCTGTCGGACATCAAGTCCTGGATGAGGGCAAATTTCCTACAGTTGAATGTGAACAAGACTGAGGCCCTTCTGATTGGCTCACGTCAGTGCCTCTGCACCTCAGGCTCTGGCAACATCAACCTCCATGGTTGCACACTACATC